CCACTATCCTTCCAGTTTTTAATAATGCATCATTGGACAGTTAACCCAGTTTTAGTAATTTCTGCAATTTCTCTTGATGCATGCCAATAATTTGACCCTTCTCAAACAAACATATTTTCTAAGACCACAGGACGTCTTTCGACGTGATTTTTTTAGAAGTGAGAAGCAGCTAATTGCACCAGTTGGGGTTAAACAACTTGTTACCAGCTGAAAGATAATTACCTGTGCAATAATTATCCAGTAGGAGGCTCGTACCCATTTGCTTAGTTAAATCCAGGTGGCAACTTTTTTTGTTGGTTTTTTTTTGGCCAGGCAGTGTATTTTCAAATCAAATAAAACATATTTTTACTGGTAGCAAGGCTCTTTCAACCCTGCAGTTTAAGAAACAAAGTTTCAGGTCAGAAAAATAAATTACATTTTGTTGGTTGTCTTAGCGATTAAGAGAAAACCATGTAAAAATTGTCTTACTGCAGAAAACCAGTGGATTTGGTTTAAAAATTCGAATAACTGATTTATTAAAAAGGTTACGGAGCCCGCGAGGAGACACGGGGGGATTTTTTTTCCTTTTGTGTTCCCACGCAATACCATTGCGTTCCCACGCAATACCTTTGCGTTCCCTCACAATACTTTTGCGTTACCTCGCAATACTTTTGCGTTCACACGCAATACTTTTGCGTTCCCACGCAATATTGTTTTGCGTTCCCATGCAAAAGATTGTTTTGTATATGAACTGAATTAAATCAGACTTTTATTTTGAAATATCTGGTTACCAAAACAGGATGTGTCGCCACAAGCTCGTGAAATTGACAATGATGTTTTATGGCTGTTCTGTGTTAAAATATCGGCATATGACAAACTTCCATGCATGGCTGTGTGATATATTCATTCTGACGCTGAATTAAAGCAGTAGGCTAACTCGCTAATGGTGAACATGTGAGTCTGCTAATAAACTGGCAGGCACAACAGTGATAAACTACTTTTGCAAGAGAACGCAAAAGGTATTGCGAGGTAACGCAAAAGTATTGCGAGGTAACGTAATACTTTTGCGTTGGAACGCAAAAGAAAACAAATCTCCCATGTCCTCTCATGGGCTCTGTAAAAGGTGAATAATTTGGGCTGGAAACTGGTTTTTGTACATCAAACTCAGACTGCTGGACTGCATTGTTAAGATGTGTCACCATCATCCATTTTCTTTTTGAACATTTTCCTTTCCAGATTGAGGGGGAAGCTGGCTCTTATCTCCAGGGATCTTTGTGCGAGAGTCAGGATGCATCCTGGACAGGTCCCAAGGTTGTTGCAGGCTGTCTTAAACATCTGAAGTAGCAACTATTTACAAAAAATAAACAAATAAAAGAAAAGAAAATAGTTACTGCAAAAATGAGAGCAAAAATTAAAAACAAAAATGGGGACACATTTTGGAAAGAAACGTACGTCATTTTGACATTGGTACAATCCATCCCAGTCATCACATCTCATCAGTCAGGTCCTTCACAGAGGCGTACAATACGTCGCATCCTTTAAGCATACTGAATGTATGAACAAATAGATCTTATCCACAAATAGGACTTTGAAAATCTTAAGGAAATATGAGTACCTGGACCAATGTAGGACCGAACAAAAAACAGTGGCTAAAGATAAGACCCCGATAAAAAAGACACGAGTGACCTGCATCCAGGAAACTGAAAAGGATTTTGGTTGATTGGCTAAGAGGAGAGAGAGAGAAATTTGTTATCATAAATCAATAACTATGGTAAAAACCATAAACAACAAATATGGCAAAACAATATGCTTCCTGTTGCATCCACAGTTAATCCTGTTGGATGTGGTTGGTCCTTCTTGGTGGTATCCTGACATTACCCTGGATACTGTGGCTCTTGATACATCACAAAGACTTGCTGTCTTGGTCACAGATTCACCAGCAAGACGTGCACCAACAATRTGTCCTCTTTTGATCTCTGGTATGCCACCCATAATGTGTAAATTGCAATATTTTGAGCAAAACTGTGCTCTTATCCTGCTAATTGAACCTTCACACTCTGCTCTTACTGGTTCAATGTGCAATTAATGAAGACTGGTCACCAGTCTGGTCCAGTTTAGCCATGAAACCTCAATGACAGGTGTTTCAGTTCCATTGTCCAACCCCTGTATGTATTACTAACAGGCAGTGGAGGCTGGTGGAATTTTCTCCAGGTGGGGCTACAGCTCCAATATAGATGTATACCAAAAAACAATCAAACATGTACTAAGATGTATCACGCCAATGTATTTATTAATCAAATGACAATAATAAAACAGCATTACAATGTCATGTAGTGTGTTATTATTTGTACATAAATTTTGCTCTTCTGTTACTGAGAAGCAAATTTCTTCAAGACTCTGGTTAAATTCAGGGATGTTTTAACCAGATTTTTATAGAGCATAGTCAGTGTGAGATGTGATGTTGAACCTGAGGAAAGTCTGGATTGTCTTCAGTG